AAATATTTACCCATTGACTTCAAAAATGTTTTTTATTTAATTTTCTTTCTGTTTTCTTCTGCTACACATATACACACACACGTATGCACGCGTGCATGCACGCACACTTCTGATCTTTCTCTTGGCCAGTGATTACATAAAATATTACTAAAGTTTTAGCTATGTAGAGAATGGTGATGAATTACTGATGAGTAACCAATGCTCTGTTAAACATTCAAGGTGCTCATATAACAAACAGGTTTTTTTTTCCTTCTAAATTACACTTCTTTTTTTTTCCTTCTTATTTTCAAGCAACCCAAATATTCACATGCCAAACCCTAGAAGGAATTAGAGAACATAAGTGTAGGGGGCCCTTTGTTTGCACAATTGCTCCATCTATTTTTGAATGATATGAAGCTGTCACACAGACCTGGCTGCTGCACAAATGTTAATGACGTCTGAGGTGGGCATCTGAATTAACCCTGTTTTCAAGCAAGACAGTGCTAACTTAATCCATCTCGGAAAGGAGAGGACCCATCGTATTTGAAAAGGAAATTTTACAACATTCTTTGGGAACCCTCAGCTCCAGTACTTCTAATCTTTCCCAAATCCTCCTTTATGAGAAACCCGACATTCTCCTTGCAACAAATTAAAGCTCTTCCCTCACACAGAACTCTGACCTCCCAGTCTCTTTCTGGTCCCGCATTCCTCTTAGACTCTCCACACTCCCGCTCCAGCATCCACGTGTGTCTGCTTGTTCAGTGCACTGGGGCCTGAAATGTGTGTCTGGCATGGAGCCTGTGGTGAGAGACATAAAATAAACACTTTCCACTTCCCCTCAATGGTAAACTTCCTCCTCTTCTCAGGCGTCTCTTGTCTGCAACCGGGAGATGGGAGTGACATCACTAAACATGTAATGTGCGGCGTGCTGTGGGGTCAGCCGAAGGGTAATTTTTAGGAAGCATGCGTATTCATGAGGCAAATCAGTGTTGGCGTTGAGCAGGGACACTTAGCAAAATGATGCATTTGGGATGGCATTTCTGCAGGGTAGCGACCCTGACGCCTCGTGCACCAGCCCAGCCATGCTAACAGTCAGCACACAAGTGACTCCTTCATGGATTAGGAATAGCAAAATAATGAGATTTAACCAAGAGTTTATCTTGAATGAAAGCAAAGACATGCTGTCAAGTTAAATACTTCTGGAGTCCTGCAAAGCCTTCTTTCAGCTCTGCACCTCAGGGTGGACATGCTCAGTTATCATTCACGTTCAGGATGTTTTAAGGCTAAAACCCACGCTGACCCTAGAAATAAGCAATGCTCCTTCTCCTAATCCAAAATGTGCATGTGTTAGGTGGGAGAAGGTGGCAGTTAAGAACAGAATGTGGAAGAATAAAAACACAAATACAAAACGATATCTCTCTAAAACCATCACCCAGCCTGAGCATGAGATAAGACTTATGGACAATCTACTAAATGACTTTAACTCTACGCGGTTTTTATCCCACTCCTCACCCCCACTTTTCCTTCCACCTCTGCATTTTTTTCACATGGTATTCCTCCACTTGGGTGGTCTTCCCTTTCCTCTTCAGCAGTCAAAATTTAATTTATCTTTAAATGCCTAATTCAAAGGCTACAATCTATATGTTGACCATCCTAACAGGACATATTTGTTCAAAAAATTCATGGAGCCCTGAAGAAGACAGGCACAGCTCCCCGCCTTACAGCTCTGGCAGCATCAATTCCTCCTCCAAACTCCAGTGGCCTTCGCTCTAACCCTGATTCACTTGGCAGTTAGGACATTCTTCTATGTATGGTGAGTTTTGTTGATGGATCTCTTTGATAGGCCTGTTTAGAGATTTTGCCATCCTTAGAGACCCTGAGAAGGATGTCAGACCACAGAGCAGATCTCCAGACACATCAAAATTTAATTACGGCAATGGTGGAATAGGGCCAAATAAATAAACTGTGCTTTCAATAAAATGATCTAAGAGTCATATAGAAAACTCTTTTGCTTCAGTTCTTGTGGTTAAAAAATGTTTCTGAATGTGCTTGTCTGCTTTATAAGAGCAGTATTGCAAAATAACGAATATTTCTTTAAAGGCTGATATTTCCCAGGGTCATTCTTAGCAAAAATAGTTTTCACTAAGCAGAACTATAGATGGACATAGGCTGGGAAGTTGGGCTTAATAAATACTGATCCAAAACCATGCTCAGGAACTCAAAAAATTCCTTTCATTGGTTACTATCTTAGCATTGCTTCTTTTTCATCAAAGTGCAAGGGGAAAAATTCAATTATCTGAAGTTTCCAGCTAGTTGAGTTCCCATGTAAATTATTCCCATAGTCCTTAGTCTATTGGGTTACAGCTGGGCAAATCAACTGTGGAGCGATGCTCTCTGATCATCTGCCTGTGGTGTGGCGGGTTATCTCTCACGATATTTAATCAGTAACCGCAAATTACCCGTATTTTGAACAAATGAGTATTTAACAATTTAATAAAGGACTCTGTCAACATGAGCTTTAACAACATAATCCAACCAAATGAAACATCAAACAAACACAATTATAATTACATGATGTCCTGGTTAGGTCTCTCATTGTTTCCTGGGTACGTGGCTTGTGTGCGAGTAAGTCACAGGTCCTTGTGGGAAGGGGCTGCGTCTGCTCTTTCTTTGATTCCTTGGAAAGGCCTAGTATGATGCAAGATGTGTAATCAAGCCCTGACTGAAAAATGTTAAGGTGTCCCCTCCCTTAATATCTAATTCATCATAGAAACCCTACTAACATGCAAACTAACTATAAGGAAGTCCAACAAAGCACATGCTTGTTTTTCTTATGGAAATTACCTTGATGTTTTAAATATGTATATACGTACGTATATTATATATAACATATATAAGAAGAAGAAATATAAATACATACATACATATGCATACACACACACAAACACACACACACACATATATACACACATACATTATCAACTTCTTGCTCACCTCAAATTGTTTCTTTTTTGGTGCCCCTATTTTGCCAGTGCTTTTAGATATGTACAGTTTGCCTATTGGATAATCAAGCATTGCATATAATAAAACCACATTGGGAAAAATAAACACAAGAAAAGACTTTGCACGGAGACCTGGGCAGAATTCAACAGCTGGTTCTGACCCCTAGGTAACTTGTCTTAAAGGAAGTATTCCATTAAGCTATCAATCTACTATTGAATGGCCACACCAGACCATTTGTCCTAGAAAATAGAATTTCTTGGATGATGTGGTTTTCCTAAGATACTTGGAAACAACACGCCCTCTTAATATTCTTGCCCGAGTCAATGAAATTTGAAGAAGTTGAAAAGTTTTCACAATCCATATCATTTTACTGTTGCGTGAATGCACTTAGAATTAAAGATGCCTAAGAAAGAAAAAAAAAGCAACTCAGAATCCATTGTCATAAAATTTACTTCTCCTGTCAGAAGAGAATAGCTTCGACTCCAGTTTCATATCCAAAGTATCCACGTGTGTTATGGTTCCCCTCAAGCCGATACAATTCGTTTACCAGCAAATTTCAAAGTTGGAGTGAACTTTTTACAGCACTCTCCTTGCGACTCCTGGTTTTCAAAGCTGGTGTCACTATTTGTTATGTTTTTTAAAGCAAATGTCTCCTATTCAAATTCTTATGCATCCTCTAAACTGTGTTTCTCATCATGGTTGTGTGCAAATACACTGAGTTTAAAAACAAATATGATTTTGAAAGACGCTGTGTTGCTCTAACAAAGGGAACATTGTCCATCTTCCCTGACAGCCTCTCTCTAATTAAAGAGGCCATGAGGCTCTGCAGAATGCGGGCTCCTTAAACATGCCCAGCACCCTCTGTCTTCACAGCACACACAGTGGAGACAACAATTTGTAGCTTACAATTTCTCCTTCCTAGAAGAAAATTTAATAACGTCCCAGAAGGGAAAAGGAAACAAAATTTCCTGATGGAGCATACATTTCTTCTTTTAAAATACCAGTGGCTGGGAGATTTGGTTAGAAAAAGGGCTCCCTTTACCAGCAACTCTGAGCTGTCAGTGTGTAGTCAGCCTGGTTTTTTGTTGTTTTTTTTAACAGCGGCTTTTCACTTATTTTATCCATACTCATAAAGCATCTTTGACATTCTGTTTTCCCAAATCTGGCTCTGCAAAAACACAAAAGCTGAGAGATCGTTTCATGACTAGAAATGGCAATGTCAACTTCCTCACTTTCTAAGTGTCATCTTAAGACAGACATTTTGCGCAAACAACCAAAGATGTGCTGGTCCACACCAACCCTTGTCTGTTTGCAGCCATAATGTTCCACATGCTCACAAAGGGAAATTTTTCTCTATTTTTCTAAGCTTACTCTCAGTCTTTGCCTAGTGAAGCTCATGTCTACAGCGCCTCACATGGGCACACATATCTATACACCTTTACAAAAAGAATGTAATAATATCTAACATAACAGCATGCTGCTTCTAATTTCTTTCCATTTCTTTATGAGAACTGTTTATTCAGTTAGAGATAAATCATTACGTATTATAAATTAGGGCAAAAGTAACAGCAATAGAAATAGTCTATATTCATGCTTTAAAGCTTCCAAAATAGTCCATTCCTATCCTTTCATTTGACCTTCACAACAAGCCAGTGGATCAAACAGCTGGTAAATGTTAAGGAGAGATACAAAGTCCAACTCCCATGCTCTAAACCAGAGATTCACAAAATTTTTCTGTAAAGGGCCAGATAGTAAATATTTTAGGCTTTGTGAGCCATATGGCCTCTGTCGCAACTAATCAACTCTGCCATTATAGTGCAAAAGGAACCACAGGAAATATATCAATGAAGGAATATGACTGTGTTCCAATAAAACTTTATTTGCAAAAATAGGCAATGAGGTGCTAGCCCCGTGGCTGAGTGGTTAAAGTTCTGCACTCTGCTTTGCTGGCCTGGGTTCGTAGGTTCAGATCCCAGGCACAGACATACTCTACTCATCAGCCATGCTGTAGAGGCATCCCATATACAAAATAGAGGAGAACTGGCATGGATGTTAACTCAAAGCTAATCTTCCTCAAGCAAAAAAAAAAGAAAATAGGCATTGGGCTGGATGTCTGGCAAGCTGTAATTTGCTAGCTTCTGCTCTATACCACTATGCTTTAAAGTCTTGAGAAGGTAAAAGTCACAAGACACTTACAGGCTAAAAATATTGGTCTTCAAGGGAAAGAGAGATTACAGTTGAGCTATCAAAAAAGGCTTTATGGCAGAAGAAGACTTTAGCAGGGCCAGAAATATTGGTTAGATCTAAATATGGGCACCAGAGGCTTGGGTGATTCATACGAAGAGGACAATGTGAGCAAAACCCTGCTGACTGAGTGTGGAGTGGGGTATGTACAGGAGGAGGAAGTAGTTCAGTGTGACTGAGACACACATATGTGAAGAGGACCAGTGAGATAGCAAAGGCAGAATTTTCCTTAGATAAAAGTATCTTAAACTAAAAGGTAAAATCTCATTTCACAAAAAAATTGGAAACCATTACATGTTGTGAATAGAGGGGTAGCAGGAGAGAGGAAATACTTATTCATTCTTCCTCATGATGATCAGAGAAATTTGCATCAGAGGACCTAAGAACTGAGCTGGGTCCTAATGAGTGAGGATACATTTCCAGTCGTAGTGAACTGATCTGACACAAAAGGACCCCAATGAAAGATGAACTTGTACCCACTAGACTAGGGAAGTGATAAGACAGCCTGCCATCTCCCTGCACCATGAGTGGAAAAAAGTCAACTGTAGGAATCAGAATCTGTGTGGTGTATTCAAATTATTTGCTAGCGATCTGTTAGTCAGGGATTCAGGTTGAGCTTGACCAGATGGTTCTTCTGCTCCACTTAGGCTGGAGTCATTTGTTCGCCTGCATTCAGCTCATGGGTCAACTGGGCTGAGTGAGGCTGAAGGTCCAAGAAATCTCCACTCACGTGTTTGATTGCTGTGGTGCTTCTCCACTTGGCCTCTCCCTCCATAAGTAGATCGTGTGGGCTTCTTCACATCACGGTGGTGGCAAGGTAGTCAGGCTTCTAACGTGACGATTGGCCTCTAAAAGGGAGAATTCCAAGTAGTGAAGGTGAAAGTTGGGACTTTCTTAAGGCCCAGTCACGGAAGTTACACGGTTTCACTTCTACCACATTCTACTAGTCAAAGCTGGTCATGGGGCAGCTCAGCTGAGGGGAAGGGGAAATAAACTCCACCTCTTGATGGCAGAATGGCAAGAACACATGGTAGAAGAGCTTGTGGGAGGGGAGCTGTTGCTGTGTTCTTCTCTGGAAACACAATCTACCATAGAAGTTTAACACAAAAATAGGCCGGGACCTACGAAACCTCTAGGGAGCTCGCAGAGGGAAACTCAAAACCACCACCATGACCCAGGCCTGCGAGACTCACATGGAAAACAAACGCTGCTAAAAGTGAACTTGTGATCAAAAATGACAAACCACATAGGGAAACAGGATGTAGACACACCAGAGAGTGGAATTAGCACAGCGTGACCTGGGATAAAGGAAGAAAACGAAGGAGACAGAAATAAATACACTTAAAATGTGCAAAGAGCTAAAGGCAGAAGCAGAAGACATAAGGCAAGAACTGGACAGCATAAACGGCAAGCATGTTTGAAAAGTATTAAATTGAAATTTTAACAGTGAAAAATACATTCATTGAAATAAAAATCTTCAACAGGTGAAAAACAAATTAATGAAATGGAAGATAGACCTAAGGAAATTATTCTAGCATAAGTGTAGCACAAAGAGCTATAAGTATTGAAAATGTGAAATATGAAAGGGCTATTAGGAAACTAGAAAGTTAGAATAAGAAAGTCTAACATATATCTAATAGGAATTCCAGGAGGAAAGATTGGAGAGGATGAAGAACCCATATCCAAAGAGATCACGGCTGAGAAGTTTCCTGAATTGAAGAAAGAAGTAAGTTGTCAGATTTATGGATCACTGCAAATCTCAAGCAGGAAAAATAAAAACAAGTCCACAAGAATGCACTTCTTAGTGAAAATGCACAATATCCATAACAAAAAGTAATCTTCAAAGCTACTGGAGGAGGAAAGCAAGACCCATTAGCAATTGGACTGAGTTCTCCTCAGCAAAGAAAGGTAAATAATAGAATAATATACTTATGGGCTGGCCCCATGGCCAAGTGGCTAAGTTTGCGCACTCTGCTTTGGTGGCCCAGGGTTTGGCTGGTTCAGATCCTGGGCGCAGACATAGTGCCACATGTCAGGCCACACTGAGGCGGCGTCCCACACACCACAACTAGAAGGACCCACAAGTAAAACATACAACTATGTACTATGGGGAGGGCTTGGGGATAAAAAGCAGAAAAAAAAAAAAAAAGAAGGATATACTTAAAGCATGAGGGAAAAGAACCATCACCCAAAAATTTGTGTGGTACTGTACTATCATTCATGATGAGGGCAAAATAGCTCTTGCTATGAAAAACAGAAATCATCGAGTCAGATTGTTTTTTGTTACTCACCTTTTTTCAACATATTTTATGTACAATCAAGTGCATCCGTTTTAAGAGCACAGTCATGCACCGCATAACAATGTTTCAGTCAACGACAGACCGCATACACAATGGTGGTCCCATAAGATTAACACCATATAGCCTAGGTATGTAGGAGGCAATACCACCTAGGTTTGTGTAAGTATACTCTGTGACGTTTGCACAATGGCCAAATCACCTAACAACACATTACTTAAACTATATCCTCATCATTAAGTGACACATGGTTGTATAGTGTGATGAATTTTAACAAATATTGCCTTGTAACCACTACCACAAGCAAGGTACAGAGCATTTCTCTCATCTTGAAAGGTTTCCTTGTGCCCCTTCCCAGCTAATTCTTCCACCCCACTCTTGCCCCCTAGCAACCACTAATCTGCTTTCTGTCATTATAAACTAGACTCATTTTCTTCTAGAGTTTTTTTAATGGAATTATACTGCATGTAATTGTTGTGTCTGGTTTCTTTCACTCAACTTAATGCATTTGAGATTCATCCATGTCATGTCTATCATGAGTTCATTCCTTTTTATTGCTGAGTAATATTCCATTGTACAGAATAGGAAACTGATGCTTCCACATTAATTTCAGGCAAAAGAAAATTTAAGTCAGAAAGTACTATTAAGGTTAAAGAAGGACTTTACATAATGATAAAAAGCAAATTACACCAAGATAGTAAAATAAATATGAATTTCAATGATCCTAACAAAATAACCACAAAGCATTAAAGTAAAAACTGACAAAATTATGAGGAGCAATTTAAAAATCTACCATCACAATATAATCTTTAAAAGACACTTGTCCCAGCAATAGATAGACCAAGCAGTCAAAAGTGAGTAAGGATACAGAAGATAGAGAAGAGGGGTGTTGAAACTCACAATGAGCTGGTCAGCGGAAGCTTCCCTGAGAGAGTCATCCGTTAGTCCAAGGGCCTCACGCTTACACGGCAAAGGATCATCACATAGCTCCACCGGAAATGGGTTAAAACGCTCTTAGCTGTTTTGTAGGACATTGGTGACCAGGCTTCTGGTGAAGATTTAAAAACAGAAGTAGGATGCCTTTTTCTTCTCCATGAAATAAAGACCAAAATAACAACAGTCATAAATAACATTAACTGAGCACTCAACATGAATTAGGCAATATGCTAAACACTGTGCGTGCATTATGCCTTTTGCTTCTTGCACCAACTTTTGAGTTCATGGAAGAGGAAACTGAAACTCAAAGAGGGGGCTAGTGAGTAGCAACATAAGGACTTGAACTTGTGTCTAACTCTAGAATCAACACTTAACACTACCAGACCATATTGTGTCAGCCTAAAACCGAGAGTTCAAACTCCCACCACTAACTGCCACTTCTTCTGACAGCAGCGCACATTCCTGACCCGCATCCCTACTAAACCAAAGACCAGTTCATTCTTATTCAAACTGTGGAGCAAAGACTCAGCTGGACTATTTCTCACGTAAAACATTCCATCTGCAGAGAAGCAAGACAGGCTTATTTTTTTTTAAACAGTCCGCCTGGGGCTGGCCGTGGGTTGGAAGTGAGAGGCAGCAGGGTGCCAGGGTCGTGGCTGACAATGAAACGCTGGAGATCAGTGCTGGGGAATGACATGCAGACACAGCACATCAAAGCAGCGAGGAGCAGCCTGAAAACAGCCCCAGCTCCCCGCTGCCGGAGGTGGGGTGCTGTAGTGGTCCTTGCTTAACCACTATCTGATTGCCCATAACCATAAAAGTCAGTGCATTGCACTGCATTTGCATGGATCTTTGCTTCCTGTGACCTCAACTCTTACCTCACCTCCAGATCATCTTGCAATAAATAAATAAATATTTTAATGCAAGACACACACAAGGGCTCATGGATTTTAGAAAGCTGTAAAAACTTGAACCTGAATGAATCCCACATGTTTGTGTTACCTCATCTAAACTTAGGTTTATGAAATCAGCACTTTCCATAGTCTGAATTATGTCTTACACAAAAGAATAGAAAGAAATAACTCATTGGTATTCTGCAGAGAACTTGTTTTCTGCAGAAAGACTATGAGGAGATAGAGCATTGAGGGGAACTAAATAAAAAACCTTGGAAGATAAACATTACCTTAGCTGTTGCCAAACCCTGCGTAGGTTGGCCACCTAGAATGAGGTCTGGCATGTGGTTGGTGCTAAATAAATGTTTGGTGACAACAGTGAATAATTATAATACTTTAGAGGGCTTGGAGCAAAACTACTGTTGAATTAAGTGAAATGAGTGCTATACTGTGTTTACATGAGCTAAAAAAAGGAACAGATGAGCAGTTGTTAAGTGAATTTAATCAAACTGGATCACCAACTGCCTAGGTTCAAATCCCCATTCTTCTGTGTGACCTTGGGCATATTACTTAACTTCTCTGTGGCTCAGTCTCCTTTGTGAAATAGGGGCTATAGAGTTATCTCCTTCTAGAGTTTCTGTGAGGATTACATTGAATTATATGTGTAGGCATGTGGCAGAGTGCCCAGCATGCAGTGGGCATTTGGTGAACGTTAGCTGTTGTCTTTATTGTTATTTCTTTAGGTCACTTCCTCTACTGTTTTACCTTTGTGAACAAAATGTAATCATGACAACTTCAAAGAGACTTTTTAACTAGAGGGTTCTAAACACTTAAACCCAAAACTCCACAACAAAGCTGACTTTCTTTCCATGGTTAATGTGATGGTGAGTGTGGCCGTGTTATATAAACAGTGAACCTTTATTCTTTCTTCTCTTCACAAGACACTTGCCCTTAATGGAAACAGAAAACTGACCTCCTAATTAACATTTTCAGAAATATGGCCCTATGATGCACCAATTTTAGTCAAAATAGATAAGTGTATAAGAAATGCTCTCATAGGCTGTGAACTAAAAACAGCTGTGGCTTCAGTATTAGAAGGACCAGAAAGTAGGTTTTTATGAAGGAAGAACGTGTCTGCCTGTTCTCAGTCACTGTAGCTCAGGGCATTGGCACAGTGCCTGGCATACACGGAGTTCCTGGTAAGAGAACATGGATGAGAGTGCCTAGTTGATTCTTCTCGGTGATACCATGTTGCCCTTTTGACTTCATCCTCCAAAGATCAGGTGGTGTCGTGAAAAGAACCTAAGTCAGTCAGACATCTATTCAAATCCCCAACCTCTTACTAGACTGTGATTTTCAGCAAGAGAATCTTTCTAAACTAAGCCACAGTTTTCCATTTGTAAATGGGGCAGACTTTGTAGGATTGCTGTAAGAATTGGAGATAACAAACGTAAAAATTTCCTGGACCTAACAGCACTCAATAAATGGTACTCATTCTTACATAGATTTCCCAAAGGTTTTATCATCCATGAATTCATCTAAGCTTTAGTTGATTCTATTTAAATCAGCCAATACTTCCTCTTCCTCACATTTTTCCATCCCTGTGTGTGAATGCAGAATAGCGTAGCATAATGAGCTTACATTATGGAAACTGACAGATCTGGGTTCAGAGCCATCTCTGACACATAGGAAGAGGTCTTACTCCAAGGGAGGCAAAGACAGAAGAAAGAACCTGACATCATTTATTAGCTCAGTGACCTTAGGCAAGCAAGGACTCAAGGTCTCTCAGCCTCAATTTTTTAAGTGGGAAAAGAATAATAATAACCCTAGGGTTGTTAGGAAGATTAAATAAGGGCTGAGTTAGGGCTTTGTTTTATCTGATCACCTCCCACAGATAATCAAGTGTAGTGAGCCTCTAGAAGGTAACCAATAATGGGGGATGAAAAATGATTGAATGACTAAATGAAGGAGAAGGAAAGAGAACAGAAAGAGGGAAGGAAAAAGGGAGAAATGAGAGAAGGAGGGAAGAAGGAAGGAAGGAAGAAAGAAGGGGGGAAGAGAAGGAAGGGAGGAAGGCAGGTGGGAGGAAGAGAGGAGGGGATGGAGGGAACAATGTACCCCACACTTATTCCAGGACATAAGTACCTTACAGGGAACTTTTGCTTTTAAGACAAAGGGCAGTGAAATCTTGAGGGCAAATCCTGAAGGAAGCCATTTGTAAAACTTAGCCCTTCCTATAAGCCTGTCATCTCACCCCTTCCAGACCTCATTAAGCACCTAGAATACCTTGGAAAAGTACCAAAAACCAAATCATGAAAAATGGGAGAAAAAGTTCCCAAGGTAAAAGCATTGTTTTTTATCTTCCCAAGCATCTGTTCCTTCATGCTGAAATATTTCATGGAAACATATTTCATGTACTTCAAATAATTAACTGAAACAAATATTAAACAAATAACAGAGTAGAAAATAACAAACCTCTTCTGACTTCTCTGCCATTGTTCTAAGCCTTCAATAAGATAGAAACATGCTCATACTCCAATTGCCAACAAAATTAAGAATGCATTACCAGTTTTATTAGAAAGAATTATTTGGAAGGAAATACTCTTTGAGTTTCTTTTTTTAACCATAGAAGAGCAAAACACACAGTTAGCATTGTTTGTTCTTTAATAAAAAGAGCAAAAAGAAGCTATTGAAATCAATTAAACCTTTTTTTATATGAAGGAAACATCCCAAATGCAGGGAAAATAGTCTATTTTGAGCAGTCATAGTTTTCATTTTTCCTTAAATGTATCAGACATAGATTTCACAGCTCATAATTAATTCCCAGTGCCCACATCACCATTAATTTTTAATCAAAGCAGAGCTGCTGTGAGCGCTACTGCTATTTCACCAAGGTTAGTGGGGGGTTGTTTCCAGGCTCAGAAACCTTATTTGTTCTGCACAACAGAGGCTGATTTCTAAAAGGATGGCCAGATGCACCCTGTGATCCCAGCTAATTACCTACAGGTGATGGGGACCAAACTCTGTGTTTTGACTCAAAAAAAAAAATCCAGTTTCACAGATAATTACACATTTACACAGGCTAGGGATTTGGAGTTTTATATTCTTGGCAGTGTTAGACTGAAGAGGTATATCGTGTTGAAAAGTATTTCCTCTATATGTATGAAGGGAATTCTCCGCAATCAATTTACCAAGCTTATGCTCATAAATGGATGTTTACAGGAGCTCCCCAGAAAGCACAGTAACATGGCGCCAGGGAGCAAACGTGATACAAGTTCACAGAACTTTTCTGACGTGAAATCACCAGACGAGGAAATGATTTCAATGTGGGTTTGGGAAGGCCCCAGGCAAGCTATTCTCCAATTCAACATCAAACAACGCAAGGCAAAACCGAAGGAGTACTCCCTTTCAAACCAAGTAGGTATTCAAAGTAAAAACAAGTACTATCAACTTAACAGAAACCCCACTGCAAGGAAATTCATTTTCCTTAGGTTTAATATCTTTGCATAAAAGACATACAACTTGGTCATTTAGATTTAGATAACTATGTATAAGTAAAATTCAAAACAATTTCTTTGTGGAAAACAATGTCGTGCTTATAAAAATCTAATATCTAATAAGAAGAGATTAAGTCTGTCTGACTCAACCAAATATAAATAAAAGCCAAACTGTTTTAACATATTTTATGAGATTTATATACATATACACACCTACATATCTTAAAGATATATGTTCTTTAAAATATTTGTAAAATATATAAAGCTATACATATATATACTTTATCTTAAATATATACTGAAATAAACATTTTAAACAGCTTAAAATATTTTTAAACATCTTGGCTTCTATACACACAACAGATTTTTCTAAGATAAAAGTTTTAGTGGCACTCGTGAAAATTTCAATTTTTTACTTTTTATTCTCTGTATTTTCTAAATTCTTAAGATGAAGATGTATTCTTATAATTTAAATTTTTTTTTTAGTATTTCCAGCCTGAAAAGTTTTAAGCTTATTAACCCCCTCATACGCCAAATTTGAGATGTGTTGTAAACTGAAGGAAGCCGGTTCCCAATAAGCTACAGAAGTAAAATTAGTTTCCTCATGTAACTATCCCTTCCACTATCAATCCCTCCGTAATGTAGCAGCAAATATTCAGTAAATGACTTTAAGTGCTTATATACAATGGACACACCTTTCCAAGGACTCCAGGAGCAGATCTAGCTGAGCAACTCCGGCCCAATAAAAACACCACAGATGAGA